AAAAAAGTCTGTGAATTGTTAAGTTTATGAGCCTACTATGAGGCTCGAGCCGAGCTGAGCCTATATAAGTAAGGCTCAGCTCGACTCGAGCCTAACTTATAAACTCAGGCTTGAGCCGAGCCTAAGACTTTTGGGCTCAGTTCGGCCTGAGCTTTATGAGGCTTGGCTCAGCTCGGCCTATGAGGAGCTTTAGCTATATAGTTACATATCGGAAAATTAAATCACAGATAATGAGATGTATTGCAAGATTTTTCATACCCGATATGGATTCATGTGCCTGATATAGATATTTCTTAACTCAACCTTTTGAATATATCTGTAGCTTATATAAAACAATGGCAAGTACTCAATCTGCAATTGAAACGTTGAAAGAATTGAATTCCAAGCTCACGTCCCAAATTGTTGAACTTAGGAAGGAGAATGCTAAAATTCCTAAACTAAGAAAAAAATTTTTCAAAGTTGAGGCCGAGAACAATGAACTTAAAGCTGAGAACGTAAAATTAAAACAAGCTTTAGAAGAACATAAATTCAGATTTGCGAAATTGGAGCAGAATGATAAAGATACTGCTGTTGAAAATGCTGAGCTTAAAGTTAGAGTTGCGAAATTAGAACAGAAGCAATCGCAAACCAATGAAGGAAAAAGTTTTCATATTGCTAAATTGGATGAGGACAGCGGAGAAATCAAGCAATCTTTGGTTAATATTATCTCTTCCGCATCTGATATAACTGATGACACTTCAAATTCTGGCGTTAGCTTATCTCAGATTGATATTTCTGAACAGGTAGAAAATAGTTCCAATATATGCCAGGAAAATGATGGCTGATGTTCTGTATCTCCTATTCCCCCTGAAACAAATTCGAACGATACTCATAAACAGGTAATCCCAAAAAATAAGGATGCTCTGGCATCGGATATAACCGATAATACTTCAAAATCCGATGAATCCAATAATGCTTTGGCATCTGATAATGCTTTAAATTCTGACATATGTCAAGAAGAGGTGAAGTCTCGAGTCCCCGACTCACCTTTAACTCGATGCTCTGCATTACCTATTCATATGGAACCCATAACATTAGAAGATAAGGAGATCGACAAATTTCTGGATTCAACGTATAGGGAACAGGTTAGTAAAGAGATAATTTAGAGCATTAAAGAAAAGAAACTTCGGGATCAAGAGACAATCATAACTTCCCAGGATACTGTCCCTATTATCACCCGTGAACAAGGATTTATTCAGGAAATATCTGCAGGTAACAGTTACAATGATGCATCCTTATCTGTTCAAGACCATAACTCCATATCTCCAGATCACGTAACTGAAATTTCGCTGACCTTGGGTTAGGAAAAATTGAGCATCCTCCAAAATATAATCCACTTATATGAAAAAGCATGTGATGCGGAAGATGAATCAATAAAAGCTAATCAGGCTGAAATTTTATACTGGAGTAATTTTATTATAGTACTTGACAAAAGTTTTGATGAAATTATGGTTAGGGATAAAGTGAGTACGAAAAAAGCTAAAGGTCAAGTTTATGATTTTATTATTGCACAAAATCCTGGCACTAGGCGTGAATCGCCATATAAGAAAATTGAAAAAGCTAGAAAAATTTACAGGTTATTCGAAAAAATAGGTTTAGATAAAGTAAAATATATTAAGTCGTATAGCGCGAATGCTATTTCGAAATTTACCAATGAACAGATTCAAACGATTATTGATCATTTTACTAAAAATCCCACTATAGAAATCACCGATGACCAGTACAATTCTTCAGATGACTTACCCGAAACTGATATAGGTGAGAAAACTTTACCGGAAATTAAGGTGAGTACACAGGAGACAAGCACATCATCATCCACTCCCTCTATTCAGAAATCACATACCTCTAGCCACTCTGTGACTGATGATCGAGATTCCGATTCATTAGAAGTCAAGATACAGGTAAATGTTGCCAATGACTCATGGAGTGAGAGCACTAACATGCCTGAAAATCCCAACTATGATTACGATGACGAAGAATCCTTCAATAACAACAATGATGATAATGATGAGAATTTCTCTGATGATGGGAGCTTCTGTGGTTTTTCTGATGACGATGATGAAGGTTATTATTATGATTTAAATACCAGTGAAACTTATGCAAAATCAGATCGTTCAATCTGCGCATATTAGATGCAAAGCATCCTCACTTCGTGAGACTTTAACGGACCTAGTTTATTAATAAATGTTATATAATACAATAAAACTGACTCATGCCTAATATAATATTCTAGATCATGTATTTATGCGAGCCGATTCAATATATGTAATAACATATGCATAAATATTTTTTTTCACAATCGATATGCGATTATGCTACCAATATCTAATTTAAATTAATTTGCGATCATGTAAATCAGTAACATGAACGAGCAGAGCACGGAAACGGAATCAAAGACTCATAAAAACTTAACCTCCGAATATTTGGAGTGGCAAGCTGAATTTATTGTGTCGCCAGGTATTTCGATAGATAAGATTCGTCCCAAGTTATATAAAAGATATAAAAAAGAAACTGGCCTTGATCCTTGGATAAACTCTGAATCTTCACAAACAATGACAAATATACAACCCAAAATCGATTTATTAGAATTTGTGTGGCAATGATTTGGAGATCTTTGGAATCTTCACGATAAATTAGAAAAGGAAATAGATGAATTAAAAATGAGAATATCAAAATCAAACCCGAGAATACGACGTTAAAGCATAACAAAGAAGAAGTTGAAATTGAGAATATAAAGTTAAAACAGGATTTAGATGAATTTAAAAAAGAACTAGAGTCTAAGAAAAATTGTAAATTTCAGGAAAAATGTATCTTAATATCTCAAGTATTACTTGGAGAAGTATCGTCCTCCCTTCTTGAATGGATTAGAACTTGATGCCTTCTTTCAAAAATGTCAAATTGTATTAGAGATACAAGGAGCTCAACATCGGCTTCATAGCACTAGCTGGTATAAAGATGTCAAAAAGCTCGAGGATATTGTTAATCGTGATCGGTTAAAAAGATGTATATGCCAAAATAACGGAATTTTTCTTATCGAAATATGGTACGATGAAAAACCAGAAATAGTTATTTCTGAAAGGATTCAAAAAATCAAGGGTTTCGTTAATCGGACATGTAAAATTTTCGACCTATAATCAAATAATCTATAATTTATTATTTAAATTGCATCGATAAAATTAATAATAATACTCGATATTTAAATGATCATATGTGGTTATCCGTCTAGTTAGTATATATATTAAATTATTTTTTCACGATCTGTTAACTATGCAATTTACATTTCACAAAGACATATAAAATAAACGGATACTTTATTTATTAATTTGTTGTTATTATTATTAATATACTAATTTTATGCTTCGTTGCGGTGAAAATCACGTATACACGGCGCAGTAACTATGATGAGTTGAAGATGCTAGCTTCCTCGAATTTCTCTATTTTAGTATCAATCTCCTCCCAGCTCAACTTGGAGATTCGCAATGCTGAAAATGTTTTAATTTGGGGCATCATTTCTTTTCCTTTAAAAATACTATTAAAAAAAGCAAATATTTTCCGTGCAAAATTTATTTATTCATTTTATTAGAAGATTAAATGGAAATAGTAGCGCTATATGTAATGCATATTTTCCATTTTTGATTATATGAAAAAAAGAATTATTATGAACCGGATTCATGATCTCATGTGAGAATATATCTAATAACTATCTATCTATTTTAATACAAACTACAATTTCGGATCAAGTTCCAGAGCATATTGTTTGAAGCGATTAATCCAGGGTGGTTTACTCCTGATAGGGTTGTTAACCGAAGCATAATGTTTTGGCATCAACCCGGGTTATGTATCACTCCGTCACGGAGCGGGTTAAGATTTCTAATTTTTTGTACTAACCCGGAGCA